AAAGAAACATTAATGTGTGGCTGCCTCTCATATGCCCCTGACTGGGGAGCTGGCCCTCAACCCAGGCATGTGCCCTTACTGGGAATCGAACCAGCAACCCTTTGGTTTGCAGGCTGGTGCTCAATCCACTGAGTCACACCAGCTGGGGCAATCTCTAGTATTTTAAAGAGGGCTTCCTTGTAAATTAGCAACTGATGTTCCATGTTGTTTGGCTTTTTTCAAAGTGTTTTATTACCTTTGATTCCTATTCTAAAGTTATTGGCTTTGGGGGTATTTTCAGCACTGGTCCAAAAACTGCGTCCTAATTAATGGGCTTAGGGAAAGTGGTCCTAGGCTCTGCTTTCTGCGTACATGTACAGCTTTCCGCACTTCACGAACTGAACACACCTGTGCAACTAGAGTCCAGATCAAGAAACTGAACATTTCTGTAACCCCAGAACCTCCCTGTGCTCCCTTCAGTCACTACTCCTGCAGGGCAACCACTATTCTGCCCCGAACAGCAGCGTCGGATATATTTGTCTGAATAAACCAGATTATAAGTCATAGTATCAGAGTGTGCTAAAGTAACAGCCCAACAGTCACCAAAATTACTGGTCTTTTCAAGACACAGGCCAACAAGTGTGTAGCCAAGGCTTTCATACTTGATGCAAGGGAATGCCTCCTAATGTAAAACTCTTATAACTGAAGTCTAGTATTTTCATGGAATAATTGTAATAGGGTTTGCATGACTTCACATTTAGAGCCTAAAGCGAGACTGACAAATGTTTATAATATTGCCCAATTTCTAATTTTGCACTTTATTTTTTGACACAGAAAATTTTAATTTTCATAATATCAAAGAGCTATTACAAGAAATTTTTTATAAAAAGACAAAAATCCAATAGGAAACTTGGATAAAAGTCATGAATACACAAACAGAACAAAATGTAAATATCTGTACTACACATGTAAAAATATACTTAACCTCCTCAACAATAAAAATTCAACTTAACCCAACAGTAAAATGTCAATACTATATCCTACACATTGGAAAAAAATAAACCGAGTAACAATGGCTTCTAAATGAGTTTCTCTCATCAACATTGGCAGAGTGAGAATCCAACAGCCTTTTTTCACAATGGTTTAGCAATCTCCATTGAACATTTGAAGGTTACATATTCCTTAACACAATGTTCTACATCTAGGATTGTATCCCACATAAATATTTGTCTGTGTGCACAAAGTTGACTGAAAAATTATTTACTGCAAAAAATTTTTAAGAGTAAAAAGAGGAAATTAGTCTAAATATGTCTTAAAGTAGATTATTATTTTCTTTCTTAATTTATTTTTTATTGTTGTTCAAGTACAGTTATCTGCCTTCCCCCCCACACCTCCCCACCACCCTAACCCTCCCCACCTCCTTCCCCTAGTTCCACCCCCCACCCTGTTATTGTACATGTGTCCTTTATAATTGTTCTTGTAAACCCTTCACCCTTTTCCCCCATTATCCCCTCCCCTTTCCCTTCTGGTCACTGTCAGCCTGTTCTCAATTTCAATGTCTCTGGTTATATTTTGCTTGCTTGTTTGTTTTGTTGATTAGGTTCCAGTTAAAGGTGAGATCATATGGTATTTGTCTTTCATTGTCTGGCTTATTTCACTTAGCATAATGTTCTCCAGTTCCATCCATGCTGTCACAAAGGGTAGGAGCTCCTTCTTTCTTTCTGTCATGTAGAATTCCACTGTATAAATGTACCATATTTTTTTGATCCATTCATTTACTGATGGGCACCTAGGTTGCTACCAACACTCGGCCATTGTAAATTGTGCTGCTATAAACACTGGGGTGCATACGGTCTTTTGGATTGGTGTTTCAGGGTTCTTAGGATATAATCCTAGCAGTGGAACTGCTGGGTCAAAAGGCAGATTTGTTTTTAGTTTTCTGAGGAAATTTCATACTGTTTTCCACAGTGGTCGCACCAATCTCTAATCCCACCAACATTTCAAAATTTTGCACACTTCAAATTCACACACTCTTCTACCCTGGCTGGTGTGGCTCAGTGGCCTACAAACCTAAAGGTCACTGGTTGAATTCTCAGCCAGAGCACATGCTCTTGTTTCAGGCCAGGCCCCCATTTGGGCATGTGCAAGAGGCAACCGATTGATGTATTTCTCACACAACAATATTTCTCTCCCTTTCTCTTTTCCTTCCTCTCTCTCTAAAAGATAAATAAAGTCTTTAAAAAATAAATTCAGAGACTTCCGGCCAAGATGGAGGGATAGGTAGACACACTGTGCCTCCTGGCATAACCAAAAGAAGGACAGCAACAATTTAAAAACAGAAAAACAACCAGTACTGACAGAAAATTGCACTGTATGGAAGTCTGACAACAAAGGAGTTAAAGTAGACACATTCATTCAGACCCGTAGGAGGAGTGGAGACTGGGGGAAGAGGACTTGCTGCAGGGCAGTGGCTGGAAAGGTGGTGGCTGGTGGACCCAGTGAGGCAGCAGATTGTGGAGTGAGGTGCGCAAGGCTGCAGCTGGCGACCTGGTGAGGTGGTGGATTGCAAACTGGGTGGTCCCACATTTGTGTGCAGATAAACTGGGAGAAACAACTGGAGAGCAGGGTGGACTGCACAATCCAGGGCCCCAGTGCGGGGAAATAAAGCCTCAAACCACTGATTGAACCACCTGTGGGGGTTGAGGCGGCAGCAGGAGAAACTCCCAGTCTTACAGGAGAGCTCGTTGGAGAGACCCCCAGGGTCCTAAAAGGTACACAAGCCTGCCCATGTGGGAATCAGTACCAGAAGGGCCCAATTTGCTTGTGGGTAGTGGGGGAAGTGACTGAAATCCAGCAGAGAGCAGAGCAAGCAGCATTGTTTCCTCTCTGACCCCACCCCCACATACAGCATCACAATGCAGCAATGTGAGTTGCCCCGCCCTGGTGAACACCTTAGGTTCCGCCCCTCATATGTAACAGGTGTGTCAAGACCAAAAAAAAAAAAAAAAAAAAGGCCCAAATGAAAGAACAGATCAAACCTCCAGAAAAAAATACAACTAAGTGATGAAGAGATAGCCAACCTATCAGATGCACAGTTCAAAACACTGGTAATCAGGATGCTCACAGAACTGGTTGAATTTGGTCACAAATTAGATGAAAAAATGAAGGCTATGCTAAGTGAAATAAAGGAAAATGTACAGGGAACCAATAGTGATGGGAAGGAAACTGGGATGCAAATCAACAGTGTAGACCAGAAGGAAGAAAGAAACATCCAACCAGAAAAGAATGAAGAAACAAGAATTCAAAAAAAAAAAAAGAGGAGAGGCTTAGGAACCTGCACAAGATCTTTTAAACGTTCCAATTATAGGAAGAGCAAGAAATTGAAAACTTACTTGAAAAAATAATGAAGGAGAACTTCCCCAACCTGGCAAAGGAAATAGACTTCCAGGAAGTCCAGGAAGCTCAGAGAACTTGGACCCAACGAGGAACACACCAAGGCGCATTATAATTACATTACCCAAGATTAAAATGAAGGAGAGAATCCTAGAAGCAGCAAGAGGAAAGGAGACAGTTACCTACAAAGGAGTTCCCATAAGGCTGTCAGCTGATTTCTCAAGCATTCCAAGTCATGAAAGGCAAGGACCTACATCCAAGATTGTTCTATCCAGCAAAGCTTTCATTGAGAATGGATGGGCAGATAAAGTGCTTCCCAGATAAGGTCAAGTTAAAGGAGTTCATCATCACCAAGCCCTTATTATATGAAATGTTAAAGGGACTTATCTAAGAAAAAGAAGATAAAAAACATGTACAGTAAAATGACAGCAAACTCACAGTTATTTGACTAAAACAAAAACAAAAGCAAACCAAGCAAACAACTAGAACAGGAACAGAACCACAGAAATGGAGATCACATGGAGAGTTATCAACAGGGGAGTGGGAGGGAGAGAGAAGGGGAAAAGGTACAGAGAATAAATAGCATAGATGGTAGGTAGAAAATAGACAGGGGGAGGGTAAGAATAGTATGGGAAATGTAGAAGCCAAGGAACTTACATGTACAACCCCTGGACATGAACTAAAGGCGGGGGGGATGTGGGTGGGAGGGGGTGTGCAGGTAGGAGGGGAATGAAGGGGGGGAAATGGGACAACTTTAATAGCATAATCAATAAAATATATTAAAAATAAAAATAAATTCATATACTTCTCTGAACACAACCCTATTTGAACCCACCCCCATCCCCATGGAGCTGTGAGGGACCACGTTTTAGCACCTCTGGGACCTCAGGGCCCAGCCATAGTGACTGTGGTGACCACACAAGGTGCCACAGTTGGGCCGCCCCAATTCCAGTTGCCCCTCCGCTGCCTCCTTGCAGTGGGAACCTAGGTAAACTCTTACTTTTCTGGGTCTGAGTTTCCTCCTCTGCGGATGTGCTCTGGGGATTCTGGGAAGAGTTAATGACTGAAGAGCCCAGGTACACAGTAGTAGTCAGTGGAGGTTTGTAGGTACCAACCTCTGGTGAGGTGCAGAAAGCCTGTCCTGCTGCCACTCCCTGCACCCTGTCCACCCTGCTGCTGGGGAACTAGACTGCCTAGGAGACTGAAGCCAGTCAACCTGAGCTGGGGAATCTGAGGGCTGAGCCTCCAAGGAAGCCGGGGCCCAGGCTCAGGTGCCAGGGTCACAGGCCTAGTTGGGCAAGAGTGGAGAATAACAGATCCCTCTGATCTTGGCAGGGGATATTTGGAGGTAGCAACAATTCTGGGAATTTAGTCAGGGAGTGACAGAGGGAGGGACAGAAGGGAAACATTGAATGGGCACCCTGGGCCTCTGGGCTCCCCTCCCAAACCAGGCAATGAGGAGTGAGGTGACCAGTGTGTGGAGGTGAGGGGGATACACCCAGAGACTCCCCCTCCCAGAGAGGAAAGCAGAGGCAGCCCATCCCCCTGGCTTCCACCCCCACACATCCGAGTTCCAAATCCATTCCCACCTCTGTTTAAGTCCAAAGTCTCTGGCATTGGAGATGCCAGGTTTGGCACACTAGGAACACACAGACAAACGGACACACTAGCACAGCGCTCAAGGCCCTTGTATGGACCCTGCCCCTTCCTCCCACGTTGTCCAGGGCTGTCTGCACACCCACTGCTCCAGGCTTCAGCTTCCTTCTCAGCCTGGGACCCACACAGCATTGAGGGATCCAGGAGTCAGCCTCGCAACTACCAGCAAGTAAAAGGCGAAGAAAAGCAGGGGGACTGACTGGGGTGGATTGGGGGGGCAGTGGAGGGAACCAGCTGTCAGGAGGGGACAGGCTGGGTGGAAACACTCAGAGGATGAATTTTGGTGACAGGTCTGGGAGGGAATGGGGGAAAGAAAAAAGGTCTTCATGTAGCCACCGATCACTTAGAAAGGGTCAGAACCCCACACGCCAACTCTGTTCAGACCCAATCTCAACCCTAATGCCAGTCTTGACCTAGTCCCAGGTCCAGCCAGCCCTAACATGGCAAGGGAGTATCAAGATTTTCAGCATCTGGACAACGAGGATAATGACCATCAGTTCAGACAAGGTGAAGGGACACCTCCTCTTGTTTCTGAAAGGCGAACATTAGGTGGCTCTGGCTTTCTTACTTCAGCTCCTGTTTCTTTCTGTGACCCGTGACCTTGCCTGTGCGTCTGCCCCTGTCACAAGTTGCACCTCTTAGGGGAGGTGTAGGGTGTGGGGCTGGAGTCGCTTTCTTGGTGATGGGGACCCAAGGTTTCTGCATGCCGCCCAACCCCTGCCATGTCACCCACTTCTCAGGATCTTGGGGAGGGGGTGGGCCCACAGGCTTGGGGCCATCCTTTCGTTTTCCAATAGTGGTAAGCCTTCGGCGTGCATGTGTGCGTGCATGCACGCACACTCATGCATGCATGCATGTCTGGGGTTTTGGGGATCATTTTGGTCGAGGGGCGAGTAAGATTTCTGTGAAGGGGCCCTGGGATTTCTGATCAGAGGAAGGGTGAGGCCCTCCTATGTGAAAACAAAGCCCTAGTTTTTCTCATGTAAGCCAGGATGTTGTTTGGGCCCAGTGAGGATCCAGTTCCTGGGGGAGGGGGGGAGTGCGCAGTGTCTTTTGATGGGGAAAGGTGATGCAGGGGAGGAGATCATGGAAAGGAGGCCCCCACATTCCAGCTCACTGGGATGGGACTTCCTGGGTGGAAGCAACTTTAGGGACTTGACGTCTTCCTGTGCCCAGGCAAACAGCAGTGAGATTCATGGAGAGAGAAAGACACTGACTTCTCTTGCCCCACCTTCAGGGAGGAGCAGCGATTCCCCAGCTGGTCCCACTCCACCCGACTCCCCAGCTCACAAACTCCATTCTTAAGGTTCTGAGGTTCATCAGCTGCCCTGACATGACTAGGCCACTAGGTGTCAGCAAAGACCCAGGGCCTGGCTAGGGCTAAGGCGGTGGAAGTTTTGCTTCCCTTTGTAACCTCCCCTTTCTCACTTCTAGTTGCTTCTGGCCCCTCAGAGTCACTCACTACTCATATTTCTTAGTCTTTTTGATTCCTTCTAGTCTGTTTGAGAAGCCATAGCCTGCTCTCTTCCTAGGACCCCAGGGCTGTGCAGACTGCCATGTCCCTGAGACCCTGGCACCCTCTCCTTTTGCAGGGCCACCTCCTTCCCAACCACTATTTCAGCGACTCTGCTCTGGACCCTTCCCCCTCCTGCTCTCCCTGGGCCTCAGTCTTCTGCTGCTGGTGGTCGTCTGTGTGATTGGATCCCAGAGTGGGTGCCCCCGGGGGTGGGCAGGGAAGGGAGCAACGTAGGGGGTTGGTGGGAGCAGCGGTGGGGGGGGTGCTGGTAGCTGTGATAGTGGACCCAGCACCCTCTTCTGCCCAGACTCCAAGCTGCAGGAAGAGCTGCAGGCCCTGAGAGAGATGGTCAGCAACCTCACAGTGAGCACAGAGGCTGAGTTCAAGGACCTGCGCACCCATGGTGAGGTGGGCCAGGGCTGAGGTTGGGGGCAGCTATGGGGTGCTAGGGATGTTGGGACACTGAGCAGTTTCTCCCACAGGAGGAGGGGTTGGCAGTAAGATGAAGGCCCTGGAGTCCCAGCTGGAGAAACAGAAGCAGGACCTGAATGAAGGTCAGAGAGGGAGCATGTGTGCCAGTGCCTGTGTGTAGAATACAGGGGTCTCCCAGGCCAAACCAAGGGGGTCTGGACGGCAGTTTTTCCCCCTACAATTCTCAAATGTTTTACTGACAGCAATTTTTATTTCTCCCCTAAACCAAGGGGTCTTGTGGCAGGAGCATCTGTGATTGATCTTCCGTCCCGCGTCCTGCGTACAGATGCAGACCCTTCCCGGCCCCCAGTGTTCATATTGCCCTCCTTGCCCCTCACTCTCATCCTTCCCCTCCCCCACCCTCTGTCTCCCCAGATCACTCCAGCTTGCTGCTCCATGTGAAGTCATTTGTGTCTGACTTGCGAAGCCTGAGCTGTCAGCTGGCCATACTCCAGGGCAACGGTGAGGAGGCAGGGGTGCCAGGCCCTGCTTTTCTGCCTATTTCTCCTCCTGGAGGAGCCTCAGCCCTTCCACCCTCCCTATGTACCTCTCCCTCTCCCAGGCTCTGAAAATAGCTGCTGCCCTGTTAACTGGGTAGAGCATGAAGGCAGCTGCTACTGGTTCTCCAGTACTGGGAAGTCCTGGCCTGAGGCTGAGAAGTACTGCCAGCTGGAGAACGCACAGCTGGTGGTGGTCAACTCCTTGGAGGAGCAGGTGAGGCCTCTGAAGGGCTCATCTGGGAGTCTGGCCATTCTACAGAGAGGTCACCACCCTCCTCTCTCCCCAGAAATTTGTCCAGCACCACATGGGCCCTGGGAATACCTGGATCGGCCTCACCGACCACACTGGACCCTGGAAATGGGTGGATGGTTCAGACTATGAGAAGGGCTTCCAGTGAGTGTGTGCTCTGCGTTCTGTCCCTTCTACCTGGGCCCTGCTCTGCCAGCTGGGTGGGTCCAAGGGCCAGAGGGGCTCCTCAGCTTGGCTGAGCGTTGGCTTCCTAGGGCCGAATCTGTCTCTTCTTAGGAACTGGAGACCAGAGCAGCCGGACGACTGGCACGGGCATGGGCTTGGGGGAGGCGAGGACTGTGCCCACCTCACAGATGATGGCCGCTGGAATGATGACGTCTGCCGGAGGCCCTACCGCTGGGTCTGTGAGACAGAGCTGCACAGGGCTGGCAAGGAGCCTCCTCCCCGCTAATTTGTTTTCTCAGTGCCTCCTCCTACTGAAGGGGACCTTCTTCTCCGGGGGTCTCTTTATATTCTCAGGGGTTTTCATGTAGGATTTTAAGAGAAAGGGAGAGAATGGTATCTGAGGGATGAAAATGATGTCCGGAGGGGTGGGAGCATTGAAACCATGCCACTTTCTGCAGTGTGCAGGTTGTTATGTCAACTTTTTTTCGAGTAAAAAGAAGAGAAATATATGAAACATTCTGATCTGTCTGCTTTATTGGGGATTAGGGAGGGGAGGGGGCTTGTCAGCACTAGGAAGCCTTGGGCAGGTCATGGGTGACTGGGAGAACTGTATGGGCTTTGGGCTGATGGCAGATTCGTTATTTTACAGGCGTGTGGTTTAGGGCCAGTTACTCTGCTCTCTGGGTCTCAGCTGGAAAACAGCGTTGTTATGGGGACCATTGCCCTTTTGGCAATGTCCCAGAATGAGAATCACCCCATGTGCCAAGTGCTTCCAAAGCTTCAGAGGAATCTCCTTTGTGTCTGTTGGAAGCATTACAGTGAAGAGAAGCAGCATCCACAGGCCACAAATACAATGAATCAAAGCTGAGCCCCAAGCAAGAGTCACGAAAAGCACAAGGAAAAGCAGTTCATGGAAGGGAAACCCCAGGTAAATAGAATCTGCAACCCAGGATAGGAGTTAACGGCACAAACAGATCAAGACTTACAGATACTGGTTCATCAACAGAAGCTGACAAAATATTAGCTACAAGTAAGTCCTTAACTAGTTCTAAAAAGGAAGAATGCTCTGACCACAATTAACTAGCAAATATTAATGAACTAGAATATAAAAATATAAGTATGACCCAACAAAGAATTGGGAAAGGCGAACAGAACAATATGAAGGAGACAAAAGGAAACAGACACTCGACATTAGAAAGGAGAGGGTTAGAGCAGCACAGAGTAGAGGACGCAATCATGGAACACTTCCAGATCTGACACAGCAGAGTAAAGACAGTGTTTCTTTCCCTCCACTGTTGTAATTTTTAGGCTAATCCCTTAGAAACAGAGCTGATAACTTCCAATCTTAGTAAGAGGAAGATGAAGGAAAAAGTGTTAATCTAAGAGAAGGCAGGAAAAAAAGAGAAAAGGAAATAAAATTGGTAGATAAGAAAAGGCACAAAGTAAGAGGTTAGTGCTGAGTCTGAATATGCTGCTGATCATGTTAAATGCAAAGGACTAAATTATCTTGTTAAAGGAAAACAGCTTCCAGACAAAATATAAAATAAGGTCCAACCATATGTCCAAGATGCATATCTAAAACAGAGATGAAAGCAAAAGCATGAAAAAGATATGGTAAGCAAGTTCTAATTAAATCAGTTATCATATAAAGTATAGTTTATAACAAAGTGTTATTAGAAATAAAGAGGGTCTCTTCCTAATGATAAAAGGTTTATTCAACAGGAAAGTACATTGGTATTAAATATGTGTGCATGGCCCCCAAATATATTAAACTAAAATTTTGGAAATATGAGAACAAATTGACAAATCTATATTGTGGGAAATTCTAATATATCTCTCTAGTAATTGATAGATCAATCAGACAAACCAATCACCAAGGAAACATGTTTTGAACCCCAGGGTGCACTTTATCACCCAACAGACCTGTTCAGTACAATGCATTCTTTACCTACAGAATATTCATTCTTTTCAAGCACATTTTGAAAAGGGACGTTTTTAAAAAATTGAGCAAAATAGAGAAAATTCACTACAAGGATTAGAAATGTAAAATTCCTAAATAAAACATTAGCTAACCCAATCAAATAGTATATTAAAAGAAATATGTTCAAGTAACATATATGCCAAGATTCAAAGATGATTTAACATCAGAAAACATGTATTAATAAAATAGACTTAGGGAGTGCAAAAGACTAGGTTAATGGTGTACAAAAGGAAAAAAAATCACACAATGCAGAAAAAGCACTCGGCAAAAGTTCAACACTTACTATAAAATCTTTCGGGATCTCGACTGCTACTATTTTGTTGTTCTATTTTTCTCAGCTTGTGGGTTCTGTCACATTTCAGGATGTCTGCCCCACTCCAGCCATGACACCTTATGTTCCAAGGTCATTGCTTTGATTCTTGACTTCATCCACTCTACTCTTGTTTACCTGTAAATTGTTCTTTATTTTAAGTAGTATATCCTTCATCTCTGATTGGATCTTTTTTATGCTGTTAAGGTCCTCACTAAGTTCCTTATATATATATATATATTAAACCATGCCGTACACCTTAAAAATCACATTGTACAACCTAAATACATACAATTTTTATTTGTACATCATACCTCAGTAAAGCTAGAAAAAAACCCTGAGTGTGTCGACCAGAAAAGAAAAAGAAATAGTGACTATGTGCACACACAACAGTGTCTTTTTGTTTTTGTTTTTAAGATTTTTAAAAATATGTATTTAAAAAAATACATATGTATTTAGGTTGTCCCTCTCTATTTTCCTTTAACTAGAGAGGGGAAGGGAGGGAGAAAGAGAGGGAGAGAAACATCAATGTGTTGTTGCCTCTTGCACACACCCTACCGGGGACCTGGCCTGTAACCCAGGCATGTGCCCTGACTGGGAAACAAACCGATGACCCTTTGGTTTGCAGGCTAGTGCTTAATCCACTGAGCCACACCAGCCAGGGCATAACCAGCATTTTGAACTCTGCATCTTGTAGACTGCTTGTCTTCATTTTGTTTTGTTCTTTTTTGAGAGTTTTGATGTGCTCTTTCATCTGGGCCATGTTTCTTTGTCTGCTCATTTTGGCAGTCCCCCTGTGTTTGTTTCTGTGTGTTATGTAGAGCACCTCTGTGTTGGGTCTCGCCATGCTCCTTTGTTTACATGTGACAACCACTGCTTTCAAGCTGTAAGCAGAGTTGGGTAGTTGTGACAAAGCTGGCAAGTGTTTGCTATGTGTCCCTGTACAGGAAATGTTTGTGACTCCCGGTGTAGAGAAGAGGGTAGAATGGATATTGGGGTCAATTAGAAGTCTCTGACACACTTACAAATAAGTGGACAGTTATGCATAGACCATTGTGGAGACAGGCTTTGTGGCAAGACTTATGGGAGTTAGGCCACCAGAAACAAATCACTGTATATCATGTTATTGGACATGACCTCTCACTTCCCCTGGGAATGATGAGACTGACTCTCTAACCAAGGTGCAGTGGATGGAAATGGTACCTGCCAGTCCCTCAGCAAGGGAAGTAGCCCAGCGGCTACACTGTCGCCTCTTACATGCTGTGCAGAAGAGCGTGTGGTCCACTATCAAAACTTGGGGGTTACCTGTTTCAATGGCAGAGGCACAAGAAGCCTGTGAGACCTGTGTTGTCTCGTGAGAGCATCCCCGAAGGCCTGTGGGAACTTCTGGACAGGTAGTGAAGGGACGGGTACTGCTGACCTGGTGGCAGGTGAATGTAATTGGGCCCCTACCTAGTTCAAAGGGATATGAGTATGCTATTACAGGTGTGGACACGGCCACAGGACTTTTAGCTGATTATCCCACATGGCTCCCAGATCAGAAAGCAGTAATGGCTGTGCTGGTGCGGTTATGCGCTGCTTATGGGCGACCCTTAATCATCGAAAGTGATCAGGGGACGCATTTTACTGGAGTCTTGGTACAACAGTGGGCTTTGGACTTGCAGATTGACTGGAAATTCCATGTGGCCTGTCATTCCCAAGCTGCTGAATGATTGAACAGTAAAATGGTCTCTTAAAGCAGGGCCCGTGAGCTGCAACTGCCACCCCTACACTGGCGGGGCTGGACAAAATGCTTATGGACTGTCCTCCACTGGAGTCAGAGGGGGTCCCAGCTCCAGTGGAAGTGCTGCTCCACCAGACTGCAGCTCCAATTCAACTGCAGGTACAGACTAAGGGTACTTTGCTGTAACCAGACATGGGAAAACAGGGGAATATTCTCTTGCCTGCTTCAGAGGGCCTGGAGTGTGGGCAAACAGCCACTTGGACATGGCCTTGGGAAACAAAAGCCTCTCACATGTGTTGGGTGGGCTCTTGTTGCCCCTTGGGGCTGAGGGGTGGAAAGAAACTTACAAATAGTGCCCTGGGTGATTGGGACATGGCCCCCAGTCTAAAGGTGGCATATCCAGGGGCCAGCAGACCACGAAATGCTTCTTTGTGGCACCTTTTTGATTTCCCTATGGCCCATTATGAGTTCTCCCCTGTTACTGCAAATAGATGCTGAGCCCCACATTGAGGCACGAAAGGTCTGGTGTTCATGCCCAGGAAGACCCCCTCTCCAGCCGCTGTCTTATCAGCTAACCAGAAGCTGGCTCGTATATTGCTTGAGGGCCCTAACTTGCCTTTACTGGTACCTATAACTGCTCTGTTTTTTTCCCCCACCTAAGGGTGCAAAGTAACACTTTAGTGGACTGGGTTCCTATGCCTCAGTGGCTAACCAATCAGCATGCTGGGTCTGTACTGAAGTCCCCCTGAGCAGGTTGGTCAGCCTCCCATAGCTCATCTCTCCTGCTTCTGTCTCAAATTGGACTTGGCTTCAGAACTAGTGAAACAGCTAACATCCCCTGTGGAATGCTACCTGGACTGACATCTATGCTGGGGCAGAGAAGCAGTATAACCGGCCCAGGCCATTAAGTGGTTACTCCGTATGGGATGACTCAGCTGGGTGGCTCACAGCTGAGGCCGTGGAGCTAGCTGGATCAGCTGCCCTTTGCATTGAGAACTATGAAGGACAAGCCCAGATGGGCTGGACTCCTACAGGTCTGTGTCAGACCCATGTACTTGGACATGGTCTCTGGGAGGCGCAGAATGATGCGTGGGCTGCTGTTCCCACTGGGACCCTCTGGGTGGGTGGCCCACACGATTGGCCTTACTTGTATGGGGATTGAACTGGCCGGTGTACCTAGGGGTGGCCTGATTGCCTGTGTCTTGAATGTGTGCTGTTGAAGCTTGTACTGCTGCTGCAGTAATGCTTGTGTTTTGCTTGCTTATTGCTGTAGCCTGTACTGCTGTTGTGGATTATAGATGCAGGGCTGTGCCCTCCTCATCAAGTGACCTTGTGGAAGATTTTCTCATGCGATTGTAAGGTGGGGAACCCAGAAGGGGTGGATTGTAGGGTAAGTGGAGGCAGTTGGGCTTTATCACCCAAGTGTCTGGGTAGCTAAGGGAGCAGCGTTCCCATGGCCTTGAGACTGGGTCCAATAAACTGTTCTCATAACAT